AATGAAAAAGTTTCCTACTACCCTAGCATACTAAAGAATCACTCGAAATAGTACTAACAGCTTCATTAGATCACACATACTAACGACTTTCAGAATTTCTACCCACACACATACATGCATATGTGTATATACTCATACGCATGAGTATTCTTTGTCCTTCGAAAGCTACTGATTATAGTTTGTATGTCAAACGAAAAAGTAAACTTCATCACTTGTACACGTACACACGTGTTGACAAAATGGTTTTCTTAATTTGTCTCCATCCCTCCCTCAAAAGTCGTTTTGGCTGAATGCCACAACCACAAGCTGGACGGTTGGTAAGCCACTTGAAAACACCTCAAAATTCATAGCTAAGAATTTAGGTTAGACATGTGTAAGGTTATGCAAGCATATATAAGACACAAGCAGGAGAACTTATATATGTGTGTACAAATGTAGTTATTTGTATATGTCTGTTCAAAATTAATTTTTCTCAAGCGTTTACCGTAAAGTGCGTTTACATACAAATAAATATGTAACCACCTACATATATGTATATACACTGATACTGCATGTATGTAGATATTTAGCCTCAGAGTCCCAAATGTCCATTCGTCTATGAAAAGTCAGAAAATTTAGTGATTTCTGTGCGAGTAATTCTACAAATATATTTTAATTTAGTCGCTTATGTATATATCTTGCTTTGCCGTATTAACTTTTCTCTGCTGAGTTGCTGAAAAATCATATTTTAAGCGAGATGATGACTTATTTTTAAGTAACGATATGTTGCGACCTTCTTGGAAGCATGCTTTCAGGCGTTGATTGAAGTTTTTGCTTGAGAGAACACCTTACACCGTTGACAAAGGGAAAACAAATATTTATAGCTGATAATATCGTGTTTTATTCAATGTAAGCTCCTCATAAAAGCGAAGATAGTTCTTAGAAGCTGTCACCTCGATTTAAGAATATAAAATTAAAAAGTGAGTGAGTATTTAAAATATTCAGAGAAATTTTCTTCATTCTTCCTATTAAGCTTTTTTGGTCAATTGTGATATAACGCGAAAGCTTTTAAAAGCTTTTACCTATACCTATTGATTCAAAATGAAAACATCACGACTTGTATTATTTGGTATGAACATTCTTACCTTCAGTATAGCTTTTAATTTTTTCATTCGATCTGAAAGCCGTACGATAGTTGGATGAGAGCTCCAATGCCCTACTATGTGAGTTGGAAATAAAATTTTTAATATAGCTATCTAGCTTTCACAAACTTTTAAAAGTTTTACAAATCTTGGAATGAAAAATTCTATAAGTGAATCAGATCACCTAACGCTGTGAATACCACTTTTAAGACAGTTCATAGTATTTTCCTTATCACAACTTTTAAACTGATAAGCCAAAAATATATCAAGTTCGATAGCGCCGCTTGGTATCTCTCCGTGATTACCTGTAATCAAAATATTTTTATAGATTAAAGACATCAATTAATGGCAAGAAAAAATAAATAAACAATGGAAAAGGCCGAAAACGTAGCATGAAAATGTTTTTTATTTTGTTTTCTTAAATTTTTGCGCTATCTAACGAAATTCCAATTCTACGAAAAGCTTATCATATCGAAAAGAATTCTTTTGTTTTACTAAATGCTTATGCGGGTAATTTAGCAATTATTGTTATAAATACTTCACAGACACATTTTCAAAGGCAAAGTAAAAGTAATTTGTAGACTTAAGAATTGGAAAAGGAAACGTAAATGCTAAAAATTCCAATGCGCAGACTAATTCAAAAAGTCTTTGCTTTAGCCCTTAGCACCTGCCATTTACTGCGCGTTGTGAAACCCATAAATCATAATTGGATTTCATAAGCGTTTATCAGTAATTCTGTTGCAAAAATGTGTGACACAACATTTCTTATTGCGAAGAAATAATTTCCATTCATTTCTGACAAATTTATTTTCTAATCAGGAGTTTCCAATTACGGTACTAAAAAATGATTAACAATCTCTTGTTCATAAGAAATTATAGTTAATAAGTATTAGAGAAACATAAGAATTTATTTAAGAAATTATAGTTAATAAGTATTAGAGAAACATTAAATAACACAATACTAAATTAAATTAGATTAAAATGAAATAAAATAAAATAAAATAAAATAAAATAAAATAAAATAAAATAAAATAAAATAAAATAAAATAAAATAAAATAAAATAACATAAAATAAATTAAAAACATAACAAATTAAAAAAAATGAAACAATAAGTTAGAAATAAATTCATCTCCATACGCGCTATTTTTGAAGAATGTGAATTTTACGAATCAAGAAATACGATAATTGAAGCATGAAGGACTAAAAAGCGAGCTTAACTAATATTTCAAGCTCATTGATTAAAATCGCCTCTCCCCTCTCGTCCAAATCTTCCAACTAAAATCATTTTAATTTGTGCAATTTCACCTCAGTACAAAGTTGTGCCGAAAAGTGAATTTAAAAGTCACTTGCAAACTAGTTTCCGAAACTTTTCGAATTCACGCGACTTGTGCTCTTTTGTGTAAAACGAAATAACCAAAACAATGTTATGCCAAAAGTCATGGGTGAAAGAGAAAAGTATAAGAAATTTCAATTTCATTTTATATTTGTCACCTGCAAGTAATTCAATAGTAACAACTGACTAACAATACCTGTGTCGGCAACACTTCCTGACAACCTTTCTTACACTTATGACATTCATAACTTCTTTATCCCCCCCTCACACTATTTCCATGTTTCTTTCTCTTCCAATTATACATCGAGGCAAACAATGACTTTGGCGGGCCGAAAACTTTCTAGCAGCCAAAACGTGAAAACACACAAAATTCTATAAGCGAAAATCTTTTTAGTGAAATTTCTTCGAATACATTCACACATGGAGGTGGTTGTGTTTGTATGTGTGGGCTGACAACCTAAGGTAATCCTAACTTTCCAAACTACTACCTCGAATTGAATTTGTTAGATTTGTATGCCTTCTACTATATTACATACTCGTATGTGTATGTACACGTATGTTATGTATGTAGTATCTCGAACTATTGTTGTTATTGCCTGGGTGATTTTATTATTCCATTCGACAATGGGTACACTGCATGCTTCAATTATCGTATTTCATGATTCGTTAAATTCACATTCTTCAAAAATAGCGCGTACGGAGACACATACACACACACCCACACACACACACATACATACGTGCATACATATATCTGAATGTACATTAGACAAATACAGTTAGGCAAATCAAATACAATGGCAGACAACGTCATGTACGTGTCTAGGTGGAACACAAGCGATTTTCTCCTGCCATAAATTGGAAATTCGAATAAATAAAACCAGTAATATAGAATACATGTATACATGTATATATGTATGTTTTGTCCTTTACACTCACATGCATGGGCGCTCATATATAAGCGACTGTGTTGAATATTGCGTTCAAAATGGGCAATTTTCTTCTAGTTGTTGGCATAGAGACAATAGGAAATCAAGCGATTACACTGCCAGACATCGACCACACCAATTTATTTACGAAAAAATTATGAAACTGGAAATTAGACAGTCTGTAGCAAATTTGAGTACTCCTATAGAAAAAGTATTTTGATACGAAATAACTTCGTTTTATAAAATATTTTCGGAAAGCAACAACTGAGACAGATATTCGAAGAGTTTATGTGTCTATATATGTAATTTTTGCAAAAACTTGTGTTTAATCTTAGAAAAAGGTGTAAAATTATTCGTAAATTAATGCATACTATTGATAAGATTCGAATGTAAAAGCCAATAGATACAATATAATCTTCGAAAGATATTTCGCTAGGCTCTTGGCTGTGCTTCTATTTTAATCGGGGCGTTGGGCTTCGAAACGTGTAGTATCCAATTACACATCAGCTTCATACTAGTAAAATACTAGTTCATGTATATTTGTTGAATTTCAGATCAACAGAAATAACCTCTTTCCAGACATTAGAAATGTCTAAGTACTCACCCATAAATATTATTATGCAAAAACAGGCCACAGTATTAAAAAAAAAAATATGTTTATGAAAATATAATTTCTTTTGTGCTTTGATATTCTCTTATCCATTTCTAAAGTGATTTTGGGGGCAGCTCCTATAGTTTATATATTAACGACTGATGGTTTCTAATGAAGAGCATTTTTTCATGACAGAAATACACCCGGCGGGGTCGAGATGCCCTGCCAAGGTGCGAGGTATAACCACTTTCGGCTATCATTTCCTTTACAATAGCAAAGTTAACTGTCAGTACTTTTTCGATTTTGTCTAATACGAGTACACACTACTGTGCTACTCATATATATGTAGATATTGTGATAAACTCTATTCATCGCAAAGTTTGAGTAAGATTTTCACCTATGCGGCCAATGGAATTCTAGGGCTAAAAAAATTTGAAATGGACTGAGAACAGTGAGCTCTAAAACGAGCTTAGCCACTGATAGCGCTCTAAATTAACATCAGTGTAAAAGAAAAATGCTTACAAGCATAAGATAAATAAGCATAAGAGAAAATTTGACTATTCCTGGAATCAGGCTTTTTAAATGAAGAATTAACGGTATTTTTTTTTTCAAATATAAAAATTTCAAAATTATGCACATGGGCTCCAGGATTTTGTTTTTTTTTGCTTTGTTCAACAACATGTAACTGTTATCGATTATTTGCATGCCAGTCTCGTTTTTAAAGGGACAAACTTTTTAATTTGTTGAAATTTTTTAGAAGACATATTATGTAATTTCAAACAATGGTACGCCCACAAAAGGATAAAAAAGACTATCCTTGTTAATTAAATTAGCATATTTTGTTTCTTTTCGAAAGGTGTCATTGATGAGTCTTCGGCAGAGCTCGCACAAGTACAAAAATTAATAAATGGAAAGTATTAAAATGTCAATAGGGTAACCCCAATTTAGATAAAAGTTACGTATAATTTCAATTTCATACTCACCGCAATACATTTTTAGCCCAAAAATTACATACACACAGAGCTTTTCCTTCCAACAAAGGTAAGTACAAATTTCTTTATTTAATTTATGCTACCGAAGAAGTCTACTTCCTGACATATATTTTATATATAATTCCTCTATTTTTATTTTATTTTTTGTCACACAATAAATTTACATTTACTTAACTACTTAAGTGTACACACCTCACCTACATATGTATGTATATACTCGTACATACATGCAAATCATTAGTGTCTAAAGGAAGTCAAGGTACTTAAGTAGTTTAGCTTAAAAGTTATGAGGATATAATTCATTTAAATTTATTATGTATACTCTCACATATATACAAATATTTATGTATATAAATGTTGGCGCGCTGTTTGAACGACTGATTGATTGTGTGATGTTTGCTTGTGAGTGTAAATGAACAAGTGTACGAGTGCGATATTTTGAGCTTAAAATCGTAAAATACATAATTTTTTTAGCTAAAAAATATATACCAATTACATATGTACCTACTTAGCTTAAATATATGTCTTGCGCTAGAAAGCTAAAGCTTAGCAGCTGCCTCATTTTTATAATATTGGCTACAAGAAAACATATGCACATACGTACATACTTATATGTGATGAATAAATGTACATACATACATCCATATGTAGCTATGTATATGTTAACTATTATAAAACTAAAGTTTAATATTTTCATATTTTTTTTTCGCTGTCGTTGAACGCCGAGACACTGAATGAACTGTTATCGTTGTTGTTATTGTCGTACACTTTTGTTCCTTATTGCTTTCGCCGCATTGTTATTGTGAATTTATTTCAGTTTTTTCTTTCGATTATTTTTCTTTTATTTTACGTTGTTTATTTTTTATTTTCGCCAGCGAGTAGCCGCTGCTTCTTATTCGCAACACACAGCCAAAGGGGAACAAACTCCAATCGAAATATATGTATGTACATATGTATATACAAATGTACATTTAAGTGGCGTAGAAATATTTATATGCATACATACTATATACTCATATGCTATAATCACACACACGTTCATATACGCGCATGTACGCGTATATATTTATATATGATTGTTTGCCTCTGATCCTCTATAGATATGTCTGTTAGCTTCCAAAGCGCTCACTCTTGATGACTCAGTCACAAGTTGTTGCTTGTTGCTGCTACTGCTGCTGCTGCTGGTGGTATTGCTACAGCGTTCATGGCTGTGGCATGCAACTAACTAAAGGCATGCGGACACTATTGCCAACAGCGCTGTCACGCTTGCCGATGATGTTGCCATACTGAGCCGAACATACTTATTTATGTGCATACATTCGTTAGTATTCATATTAGTTAGGCGAACCGTTTATTTTGGTTACAAGAAACATACAGAAAAAAAAAACCACAAAAACAAATTGTTGTATTGCCTTTTGTTGTTGTGCGCCTTTTTTGCCACTTCTTATTGCACAATAGTGAATAGTTTTGCCTTTTGATAGAAATATTTTTTTCCTTTTCTTTTTCCTTTTGTTTCTGTTGTTGTTGGCCGCTCGCTTGACTAATAATTATGTGCGCAGGTACGGCAAGGCTATTATTGTTGTTGTTGCTGCGCCAAGCATGTGTGCTGTGAATCAGTGATGTGGAGGTGGAGGGGTTTCATTAAAGACGCACTTGAACTGAAGAAAAAGCCGTCAAATATTTACGTACTCAGTTGAAACGGCCTTAGCAAAACGACGGGGAGTTCAAAAGGGGGTCCCTGCATCCGTTAGAACCCTCTTAGAAATTTTTTTCTATTTTTTCAGTTTTTTCCTGTTTCAGATGGATCTACGGATACTCTCTGAGCCTCTATGATCACTTGAAGCATAGTTTATCTCGTTTGTAGTTGGAATCGAGGTAAGGGCACAGGATCTCAGAGGTAAAATATGGTGGTTAAAATCAAGTTTTATTCAGGAAGATAGTTTAAATTAGCTCAAGAGGGGCATTTGACCCCTCACGTACACTTTGCTGCATTATTATATTTTATCTGCTCTATTATAGCCATTTTTATTTTTTATTAACCCTCCTTTTTATCTTTTTCCTTTTTTCTATTGATTTAAAAAATTGTGCAATTTTCGGAGCAAGGCACACAGTTTTCTGTCTACTTCAGTCTACCAACCAATCCGTCATTCGCCACATGCGCTATGGGGGGCGTTACACTCTACTCTTATCACAGTGCCGTCGCCGAAGTCGCTAATTTATATGTATGTGATTGTTTACAGATTTGCGCCGCTTTCAATTTCGCCATATTTTCTGCTGCACTACACTTCAACCTCAAACCATGCGTGCGCCCATTCCTAATTCGCCTTAGTGCACGCTCTATGCGTTACGTTGGCAACACTACCGCCTGCAGCTTCCATTCACCACCTATACCGCCGCCGCCGCCGCCGCCACCGCCAATACTGCCACGCTCCACTAAATGCTCTTTAACCACTTGTTCGTGCAATTGCTGCTTCTCCAAATCTTCCTGTGGTGTTGGCAACAATTGTTGCTGTTGCAAATTGCCAACACTGCCGCTAGCTGCCACCAGCAACATGCGACTGCGCACGTCGTGCTGTGACAGGTGATGTTGCGATCCGGTAAGCGCGTGATGATGGTGTGTATGTTGATTGAGATGTGATGCGTGATGTTTCGCCGCCACTTTATATTGATGCTTTTTATGCTTATGCGTTGATGAAGCTTCCGCAAACGCCGGCCGTAACATGCGCCCCACATACACGGCGGTCAGTATAGCGTAGAGCGCTCCGAGCAGCGCACCTGCCAGCACATCTGACCAGTGATGCCAATAGTCACGCACGCGACTCAGCGCTATATAGCAAGCGACCAACAACAATAGGAACTGTAGTATATGACGTAGTACACGCGTTGTGCCGCGTCCACGCCACACTGCGTGCAGGTAGAAGCAGAGCAAGAGCATGACGTAGAAGCAGAGCGATGAATGTGCGCTGGGAAAAGACACGTGCAATTCGCGTAGCTGACGCGCACTTAAATTGCGATTCGAGCAGTAGTAGTGCTCTATATAAACGCCGCCGCCGACTAGCTGCTGATAGGCGCTCTCACACGAGCTGCCGTCCGCCAAGCGCGGTTGGCAGGCGGTGTAAAAGTGTGGACGCAGGCGTCCGACAACATTTTTCGCCAACTCAGTCGTCAGATAGGTGGCGATGAAACCGAAACTGAAGATCGACAAGCTGCGTGCCAAATTCGTTATATATTTGCGCAGTCGAAAACACTTGCAGATGCGCATAATCTCCACAACGCTGATGAAGAGCATCGGCAGCAGCAGTGTGTAGATCAGCAACATCGGTATGGTGATCGTGCACTCGCGGTAGGGATAGCGCAGCGAGAGGTCGTTGCAGAAAAAGCCGCGTTGGAAGGCGCGCATGTTGCAAGCGTTATTTGTTTTTTTTTCTCTATTGAAGGAAATACTGTGGTAGGTGGTTGTCACGATTTGCTTATAGTTGGCAACGCCGTCGCATAAGCTTCCTGTCGTGTGCTGGAAATATTTAACTTAATTAATTTTTATTTCTTCGAAGGGTGTCAACACTGCTTGCGTACATTTATTGAAGCTTCGTGCAGTATTTACCGTTGCTCGCAGCTTTGTTTATGTGATTTCTAATAATTTTGCAAATCTCTGTTATTATTAATATTAATATTAATCTGTTAATCTCCCGGCTCTAAAAACTGTCTTTGCATTCTGCGATCTTATCAGTTTTTTATTTAACTTTTTTTGTATTTTTTGTTGTGATAGATTAATAGGCAATTGTTGCTTTGCCTGCTTGGACAGATTATAGCGGATGATTAGCTTCCGTGTAGCTGTGAGCACTTTGTTGGCGAATATACGTATGCACACACATATAAATATATATTCACTTTTGAGTTTTTTTCACTTAATTATTAATATTTCTTTAATCTTTTTTTTTGCAAACAATTAGAGATTAGCAATTTTTTGTCGCATGCACTTTTTGAACTTTTTCAGCAGACGGAAAATAATTTTTATGATTTTCTAATTTTTCAATTAATTAATTTTATAGCTGAAATATTTATTATTTAAATTATTTTATTTTTAATAAATTATTGCAAGTTCGGTTGACAGTTTTAAAATTTCTTTCGACTCATTTACGGAAAGTGGTTGTCGTTGACCTGTCGGGAATAAAAAATGTTAAAACAAAGATCAGCGAAAAAAAAAATATTAAAAGAAATTGTAAGTGAAAATTTTTAATTTATTTTTTCATTGTTTATTATTTGTTATTTTTGTTTATTATATTTCCTTTTTTTTATTTGTTAATTTATGTATTTATTTTAATATTTCATACGAGGCTATTTAAATTTTTTTTTAGTCAAAAAATTTTGTTATTTCATGGAGAAAAGTAGGATTTTTAAATTTTCAAAATTAATTAACTTAATTTTATTTCATATGAAAATTTAACAGTAAGGAATATTTAAAGGAAATCGCAAATAATTATTACAAATATATTAAAAAAAAAGCAGCCTTCGTATGAAAATAATTAAAATTTTTTTTTATTCTATATTTTTATTTGTCAGAATTTTTTTTTATCATTTTTTGATAATTATAAAGCTAAAGACTTTTAAAGCTCTTAATTGTTTTTATTGTTAATGTGTTTGAATATTATTTTATGAATTTACTTTTATGAAGTACTATACACTTTATTTTAAGAAAAAAAAAGCTAAAATTAATTTTTTCTCGAATTAATTTTTTTATTAGAACACAAAAAATTACGCAAACGAAATTTTTTTTTATAATAAATTCGTTTTTAAAACATTAAATTTTCGTCCTCAATTTAGTAACAAAACATTATTATTTTTTTTTTAAATTATTTTAAATATATAATATTATAATTTTGACCAAATATTTTAACTACACAACAAAAGATTTTTTCATTAATTTTTAGTTTTTTATATTCTTAAAAACCTCGTTCTTTGAAAGACGTTTATTTTATGATATAAATTTTCATTTAAAACCTGTTTTCGCTAAGATTTGCATATATTAGAAATATTTTAAATAATTTCGTCGCGCAACTGTGATGAATTGCATTTTTCCAGTTCATTAAATCACTTTTTCACACCTCAGTTCACGCTGATTTCCTTTCAGATCACTTCCTGCCTTCCTTTCATCTTATTTGCTGCATTCCATTTAATTATTTTCCGCCGCGCACTTCAACTTTTGACCGCTTTGCTGTTGTTATTGTTGATTACAACGAAGTTTTGTTTGCTTTTTGTCGATGTTTTATATTTGATATTTGGTATATATGTATTTTTTTCGCACGCCAAATGATCATCACACGCGCGTGCTCACGCTCAGCAACTGACTGCTGATTGTCAAAGCATTTTGCTAGCGATCTAGCCGTTGGACTAGAGCACCAACTGACACAGCAAACAACAGAGCGTCGCATTATATCAGCGTCGTAGCGGCGACTTAGGCGTCACAGTAGCTGAGAGCGCGACGCCATGTCATGCGGCTAACCACATTTAAGACGCCGCCGACGCTGTGGCCAACGCTGCTGTAGTCGCGCGCACACCTAAAAACAATCAAAAAGTGGTAACAAAAGCCAACACTGTTTGGTGTGAAAAGGAAATGGGGAAAATGAAGAAAACAAAAAAAAAAAAAAAAAAAACAGAACGACAACATTAAATGCATTAATATTTGTACATATATGTACATATGATAAGCAAAAAGTATAAATCAAACACTATGTACATTAGTATCGAACACTTATTACCGCTGTTTTTGTTATTGTTGTTTCGAACAAACAATCACTTCACTTTCTTTCGCACAGCGCGTAGTAAGAACTCTTACGCTGCTGTTATTAAATTTCAAATCGCCAAGCGGCTTTTCGCTACGGAAGACGCTTATCAACTGCAGCGCGCTATTGAAAAAGCTGACCGCGACTGTGGCAGTAACTACGTCAGCGCTTACGTCGAGCACAGCACCAACATGTATTTGACTCGCTGAAGATGCGTTGAAGGACTGGCGCTTCTGCACGACTTTCAAATAGAAGCAAATATATTTGTCCACATGCGCATATGTATGTGCATTTGTAAGTAATTCGTATTATGTATACTTTCTCGTCGCACATTGTTTGCGCCCGTAGATAACGTATAGTGCGCTCACACTTAATCACACTCAGGCGCGCGCACTTAAAGGTGCGCGTCGCACTCAAATAAATAACAAAAGTCGTGAGAATTGCGTCGCGCTTATCGAATGAGTGGCCCACCCACTCAACGGGGTGCACCTTTTTCCTGCCTAAACAGAACGTGAACAGTAAATACAGTAAATGCAGTAAATACAATGAGACCAACAATCATTGTCGGATACGTAAGTTATCTTTTTAAGTAGACACAAAATAAGAAAGACGACAGTGGCGCTGACTACTAGAGACAAACTTTTTTTAGTGTTTTATTCTAGGACTTGCAGAATTTTACAGAAATAACAATTCGTTTCGAAGCTCTTCTTTCAACTATCTTTTCGTGAACAATTTGCAAACGATATAAATAAAATTGTTACCGTGATCACAAGAGCACAGAAAGAAAGGGTTCGCTGAAAGTTTTATGTGCTTTAAGCCCAGTGGTTTGAACTTCAAAACCCTTCCAAAAAAACCTGAAAAAATTTAGAAGACAGACTTATTTTTTCATTCGCTAGATACCAATTGGAGGGCAGCAAGTGAATACAGGTCTTTCGTTACCTCCCCACGATATATTATATATATTATATATTATAGATATATTCCTTCAGTTACACTCTCACAAGTAGTACCTCATGGTAATTGTGATTCCTCGTTGAATTTTAGGGCTACCATTATTTTTTGTTTTGATATCTCAGTAATAACATCGCACATAAGCTCTATTTGTACTTCTGAGAGTCCCGAAGGATCAATCTACTATAATCTACTACATGCCATTAAAGAGGGATTTTTATGCCGGCGTCCATCATGTCACACATTACTGTTTTCGCCTGAAGCGAGATTTATATGCGAAGACCTTACAGCTGGTTAAAAGATATTGGTTCGTTAAATGTGATAAGCCGGAAGTCATTTCATAATCCTCTGGGATACTGCAGAGCATGTAGTATATTATGTTCATTTGGGGCGCTAGGTGGCGCATGAAAAATTTAATAGAAACTAGAAATGAACGTCTTTGAAAACGGGCATGTCATCTTCTAAACAATGCCATCTCTTCAGATATTTCAGCCAAGAAAACGGAAAGATTTTGTTAAATTATGAAAAGAAAATTAAAAATCAAAATAAAAATATAATATTTATTTTTAATTCTTGGCATGCGCACTCATATAAATTGACCCATTTCTTTGACACAAAAATTTATTTTTTTATTCATTTTTAATATTTTTTCGTCAATATTATTTTTATTAAGCGCTACTTTATCAATTTGTTCGAATTTTAATGGTATTTTTAAGTGTGATTTTTATAGCCATTTAAATTACTCGTAGAAAATTCGTAACCCTGTGCATGTTTGAAAATATGTTTGCATGCAGATATGTATGTGCAATCGTACAGGTGCGGAAGCAATGTTAATTTTTATTATATAAATCCATAAAAATTTTGACGTTATAAATGTAAACGTGCGAAGGCAGATAGAGAGTGCTTGTGTGCATATATATACATAAATACATATGTGTATACAAGGAAACATATTCATTTACACGTATACTGTACTCCCCCATACAAACAACCAATCTGACCCATATGACTTTCAGTGTCAATTATTGGATTAACACACAAGTTGATTGTTTTAATTTCAATTTGAAAATATGATAATTTAATCAAATGATAATTTACAATAAATATGTTTATATGTGTATGCGTACGATATACAAATCAATCATCATATTCGGTTTTTTGTTCATTGTTGTGGTTAAAACTATAAATGGATTGGATACTCAATAGATAAATTAATGTACATATAAACATTGCTTGGTTTTTGTAGCAGTAATCGCAGTAATCGAATAATGATCAAATATTTTAAGCTTCAATTTTTTTCATACAAAAATATTAGGCCAAGCAATAAGTCGGCCATTCTTTCTGCATTAAATTGAAGACTTTTTTGTCATAGTTCGAATATCCTATTCCTTCAATTTCGAGTGAAACGACCACGCTGATACTTCTTACTGATTTTGAATTAAATATTTAATAAGCCCATAATTTTTTTATTTTTTTTTCTTCAAAACATGTACAACAAAGTAAGAAAAGCTACTTGTAATTTCTTTGTAATTATACTATTTTTGTAATATTCCATTGGGTCCGATCTTAGTGAAAATTGTGGAACAATTAAATCTTAGCTGCCTTAGAAATTAATCCATTTTCACCCGAACTCCACACATTCTGTACTAACACGCGCTTCATAATAAACGATTATAATGTAATTACACTGTTACAGTTATCGAACTTTGGTATTTTTAATGCCATAAAACCTGGATAAATATGCACATTTAAGCGAAATATGCAATAGGTCTAGTAGAAAATAATCCACCATTTCGGCAGTATATGGATTTAGTGATCTGTATTTCACGGTCTACAAGTGTGATTTGATTACGCTAGCTGGCATTCTTATGATTTTATTTTGTACCAAAAAGGGATATAAAGAAAAGTGTTGAATAATTTATTTATTTTACGGTTTTTCTCGATAAAGGCAAAACCGCAAATCTTGCAGCTGAAAAAAACGTTTATAGTTCTGATACTGCAACAGTGAATCATGCACAATTTTGGTTTCGTCGATTTCGTTACGGTAATTTTGATGTAAAATCTGATCCAGGGTGCGGAAGGTTAACAATGGAAAATATCGAGATGTTCGCAAATTTTTCCATTTTCACAAAAGCAAAACACTGCTTGAACACACCAAGAAGCTCTATGTATGAGTACCTTATGAGTTAATGATAAAAAAACTTCATGCTCTGAGTTCTCATCGGTGAATCGGTAATGAAGCAAAAGTTGACTGGTGATGAAAAGTGGATAACTGACAGTAACGACCAATGAAAACAGTGGTGGTGGAAAGGTAAGGAATCATCCACTATGACCAGCTCCCATACGGATATACTCTCAATTCTTCCCTCCGAAGGAAGCACCCAGCTTTGGCCAACAGGAGGGGAATTTCGTTCCATCAAGACAAATTCAGACCACACACATCGATAGTGACTCGTCAAAAGCTCTTAGAGCTTGGTAGAGAGGTTCTTATGCATCTATTTTGTAGACCGAACCTTGATCCAAGTTAATAAGTGATTACTAGCTGTTCCTGACTATGGCAAATGATTTGGCTGGTAAAGAAATGCCCTCTGGGGAAGCCTGTGAAAATGGTTTGTCCCTATTTTTTGTCACAAAGGACAATAGTTTCTATGAGATATCGGATAGCTCTAACTACGGTGAACAAAGCTTTCAATGGAATGCAGAAATAATGGATTACTTTTTACTAGACTCATATATTGTATTTTTAATTAATTGGTGTATGGAAATTGCGTGATTGGCTCATGATGGTTAAACGAGATCACGTGTAACGTGAGCAGAACAGCTATGTCCGAATGGGACAGGAAAAAAACTAAACATCTCATCCTTTTGGACCGGTTCTCCATTAACATAACGACTGGTATTATAACTGGACAGTGCTTAATGGGGCTTCACGGGATTAGGATGGGCTTTTACTCTAACTATTTGTGCTGCTTGTTTGGAGGTTCGGTAAATATATTTTTCGCACAACTTGTTTAGGAAAAAAAAAATCGGAAGGTCTCCTAAATGGGATGCTGATCATATAAGATTTAATAGAATTTTTATTAACTTGTTAATATTAAGAAATAATTTTAGCTTTTTCCATGGCATGCGTTTATTAGAAACTACGATCACCCAATGGGAATTTTTCGTTATTATTTTATTTAGTTCGATCTAAAAATTAATTTAATTTTTATATTCTCAACTTGAAAACAGTAATAATAATACCGTCGGTTCTTTACAGCTAGCTTCAGTTCGAATTCAAGCTTTCCCAGCCAACTTATCAGCACCCAGCTGGTTGACAAGCAGTTTACACGTGTTTTTTGCAAATGTACGTGACGATAGCGCGGATCGGGGAATATTTAGATGTTAATAAAATTTATAAAAAAAAGGTGGCGACAAGCGTTATATCTAGAGCGCATAGCTACAAATGCGCAAACAAATTCACGTCAAAACATTAAAGAAAAAATCGCACTGGTATTTCAAAAAAAAAAAAGAATAACAAAGAGTTTTCATAAAATTTATTAAAAATTCTAATTTATCTACAAAGCAACAAAGTAAGCAGGAATGCACCTTCTAGCGCTGCTGACGTGCATTTATTTATATCGCGCTCATTAGAAAAGAATAAATATTTACTGCAAATTGTAAATTTATTGTTGTTAA